CCACAAGCTCTCATTTCTTTCTCACACAACCTCCTCCATGTCACCCTCACCTCGAAAGCCCAACTCGCCGTTTCCCATATGGGTTACACTGGACAGCCTGATGCGTGATGTCCCTGACTGGTCTTCTCAGTGTATCCAATCCAATCCATATCCACTTCCTTCTGCATATTTGTTGAGCGATAGGTTCTTGGTTGGTTCGTTAGCAGGCCACAGTTCCTTCTTGCTTATTCTTATTATTCTGGCCACCTGAGCTTCAGTAATGAGCGTAGGCAGTTGTTGATGAATGTCTATAGCTTTTTTGGAAATGCTTTTCGTAACGCGCCGCCAAGTCTGTGAAGCTTATAGAAGCACTGACTTGACACTGGTGTTGAAAATCCGGATCCTGTTCTTTACACTGAGTGAAGAAGATCTCCACACTAGTTTGAGGTTAATGAATGCCTGTCTTGTTTTTCCATCACCAAGCAAAGCTTGTTATTATTTTCATTGTCAAGATTAAGCAGCCAAAAACTGTATACTGAGATAGTAACTAACAGATAACAGATTTCTAAATAATCTTCATTAAACTTTCACATTATGTCCGAAGTTTTAAAGGTCAATGGTTAAGTAAGACAACAAATATTTTCACTAAATTAGTATTAGAAGGTTCGAAATCCCTTTTATTAAATTGTTCTCTTGTCATTTAAATTCAAACATTTTATCTCACCATTCAGCCACTAATGATCCTTTATACAAAAGTGTGAAGTCAGCATTGATTCAGTTAGTGTGAATGAATATTAAGTTTACTATAGAACATGAGATAAATAATAAATTTCATTTCATAGACTTTGGCCTTCAATCAAGTAGATATAGGTTGCGTCAAATATTTGTTTATAGAGAAGAAACACGTGAAAGACAGCCTCTCTGTTTTAATGATTTTTGTCCCATAAGTATTTAGCAAGGAGTAATTAGAAGGGAATTTCATAGGGTTAGGAAACTTTGTCCATCAGACAAACTGACTCATGAAATTCACTTGATCAAGACATATCTGAAAGAAAATGGTTACCCTGAGATGTTTATAAATAAAACCAAAACGAGTACAATAGGAAGAAATAGACTTGGAGTTCCTGAGGTAAAACTGTTGTTTCTTTGTTTGACTTTCAAAGGGAATGAACTGATGAGCAAGCTTAATAGAAGAATATAAACCGTGGTAAAAATCACTTTCTCAGCAGTAAGCACATTGGGTCAGAATCCAATGGTCCAGGTATTTTTACATCTTTCAGTTCACAGTATAGTGCGACCTTCATGCATTACTGTCGTTGAGTGTCTGTAGTCATGTATGACTTGGTTTTGTATTTTATCTTCTTTTACAACTGACTTCATACTCATAATTTCACTATCTGATCCAGATCGACTTGACTGTAGCCTATGAAAAATCTTCAAGCTTAGATTACCATTATGAATTTATTACTTTTACTTAGGTAATCCTTAATGTAAGTATGTAGTTTAGGCTAGTCAGGAGACTTCAACGACTTGTACAAACTGAAGCAAGATTCAGCAATCGACGTATTGAGAATTATAGCATCTCTAAATATCTTCTACGTACACCGATACCAATTGACAAGATTAGGGAAGCAATAGTGCATGTCAGTAGACTGTATCTAAGCGAAGACCTAAGTGGAATTAGTAAAAACTACTTAAGATCCTAAACTAAATTAGATAACTTAAATACAGACTGATGAGGACATTAAACAGTAGAGACTATGAACTCCCAGTTGAGATATTAGACAAAAGCAATATCAGCTGTTTTCAACAAGTCCAAACATATTCACATTAAAAAGTTTAACAAATTGATAGAAAGACAGTATCCTACTAAGAAGTATGAAACTGCCGATAAGAAATGATCGGCCAATTATAGAACAAAGTGGGTGATCATCTCTCAACAAGAGAAGTAAGCTGGAATGAAATTCAAGGTCTGGAGAAAGAGCTAAACTTCAGAGTAGCAATAAGTCAGCTAAAAGCAGCTGTCATTCCTAGCATAAAAGTTGTATAAAACTCAATAGATAAGAAGACTTCTGTAGAAGTGGGAATAAAATGTGCACTACCACTAAAACAGTAAAGTAAAGCTGAACAAAACTAAAATGCTACCTCTGAAGAATCTTGGGAGTGATAACAATACAGTAGTTGTTAAGGCTGATCAAGGCCATTCAACGCTAGTTATGAATTAAGGAATCCTTTTTGTTGCATTTTTCAACTGGTTGAATGTGTCTAAATGAAATTTTGGATATGAAAGCAGGATAAATTTGATTTTAATAACGACAGTTTATTTCATTTGGACTTTCTTAATGTGCATCAATTCTTTCAACTACTTTCATTTATCGACTCTTATCCGCTACATAGTATAAGTGTATCACGGAGTCGATTGACACAGGTTAAGTAAACACTCCATATAAATCAGAGGTGATCCATCAACAACATATGCTGCATACTGACATCTATTCGCTAATATTCAACAACTTGTCTATTTAGTGTAATGTCTGTCATTTTCCTCAACAAATTATTAAGTCATGTTAACTTGCGATGATCATGAACAAGTTCTAAAGGCACTGATGATAAGAACGAAAACATTTTCCGGGCTAGTATTTTAAAGAACATAGTTAAAGCACATTTAAGTGCAAAGTGGTTCTTTACTTCTTCAGTGACCTGGAAGTCATACTCAAACCTACTCAAGGCCATAAAAGCATTTCGTATTCTTGCCTATCCGTCCACTTACATAAGTGGGTTTGATTTCCTACTTCGCAATGTTTGTATGTAATGGTTTTTACGATTGGAGAATAATTTATTGTTTGTAGACAGATTTGAAAAAGAATTTTTTTTACCGTACTTTGTGAACTGCTGGTCAACTAGTTCGCTGAAATAAAAGGGAATGTCTGTAGTCAAGTTTGTTGATATGCTTGTAATTCTCCGTTGTTTTGCTGGATCGAATTGTCCGACCTCTTTTGGCATATAGGCTCCTATGCGGATGCATGGTGCATAACGCCTTGGCGTTTAAAGAGATGAAGACGAGGTTCCAGTCTCAGTGGGAACAACATCACTCACTGGGGTGCGGGTATATCTAGCTGAAGAGCCCCAAAGAGGACGAAACGTGTATCCTGGATGCTTCTGCTAATCACAACCAAGTAAAGTTCAAAATGCTTTCAAGTTGCGAGTATGCTTTTTATCATGAATATAGCTCACTTGACTGCAGGTAGCACATGAAATATTCAAGAGAAAATTGTTATTAATAATTATCGACAAGAGTTCAAAACCAAACTATCAGAAGAAGAAAATTTTCAATGCTAATCACTGAACCATATTCTCTTGCAAAGAACTTATATATATATATATATATATATATATATATATATATATCAGTGTACTTTCTCCTGCGAAGCTGATTACACAAGACGTATCACACATCAGCTTACGTGAAGAGTTCTAAAGTACTGTTTATGTTGCCTGAAAAAGCGAGAACAGGAATGAATCTTCAACTTTGAAACAAAACATTAGGTGGACTCAGGAAAATTAACCCACTTTTAAAATTCCTTAATACTTTTGCACAAAGTAAAGTCAAGTTATCCATAGGAGTTAGAAGAAAAGATCTGGGAATAAATGGAGCATTGGCAGGACTAAATTTTAAGGCCGAAAATTATATTCCAGTTGAGGTTCAAACCCTCAAAAACCATTGGTACAAGCAAAGATGCTGTGATTCTTCTCCTGTAAGATTACCTGTGTGGGTGTGTAACTTCTCACTTTGTAATGATTATAACAAATGACTGATCACTTCAGAATATTCCTGTTGGTTACTTAGTGCCAACATAATAACTGGTACTGTAGAGTAACTTTATAAGTTGCCACACCTCGCATAGGCAGAATTAAGGTACAAGGCATCAATATAAAGCATACAGGAATGACGAAGAAGGCAATTAAATGTAGTAGGAAGCCGAAAAAAGAGAACACAAAGGGATAAAATAGGATAGAAATTTCAATTGACGGTTGATCACCATTTCAAGCTGATGATAGCGTGCCAATACGCCTGCTCCTTTGTGATGTCGATTCTTAGCCATATCACCTAAAGTCTCCAACCAGCGACTTCTTTTGCTTTGCCGACTACAACCAAAAAGTTTACATTCCCCTACAACAGTCCCACCAATAATGAAATGCGTCACTGACTGGCCAAGTCTAATCTTTTTTCCAGCCTGAATCAACTTCAGCTAACATAGTGTGGTGTGAAAAGTGATTAATTAAGTGTGTATAACAAATATATTGGCCATTTGAGTCAATGAAAGTTGATAATAACATCAAATGACTTTCCGCCTCTAACTAAAACTCTACTCAAAGCAAATCATTCTGAAGTTTTCTACTCTCTTCACCATATGTTCACTTATGTACAGCTAAAACAAGGGTTTATTTTATTTACAAAGTGATATGTTCATTCGCGCCGTTAGTTAAATATAGTTAGCGCAATAAAACAAACCCTACAGTTATTATTGGGTTTCATATTAGTACACAACCATTTGAAAAAATTGAAGACTATATAGTTTTCTGGGTCTAAGGGATTGAAATCACACAAACTGGTTGTAATGAGTTCTTTGTAAAGGATAGACATCAAAACTGTAAAACTTGGAAGTAAGCTACTGTTAACACCTAGTAGTAAACCCCGCTAATCTTGCCGATTTTGTCACATCTGCTGAATTTTATGAAAGCATTAGTTTAAAAGGAGATTTTCATACATACATTAGGGCTCTTGTCATCATTAAAATGTATTATTGATGGTTGATGGCTACCAATGGAATTCAGGATGTGCCTTTGCTCCTATGCATTATCCCATACTTGATTGCACCAAAATGAAATGCATTGTCAATAGTAAGTTTCAATCAAAGTTTCTCACTGTAGACTAGCACTACCGTAAGAATATTATACTTCTTAAAACTTATTGTCACTTTCAGCTTTGAAATCTTAACTGTATTTCTTTTTTATTTCAGTTGAACAGTAAATATGATGCTGAAAGTGAAGCTGAAGCTATTGGTTGGCTAAATCAATTAACCAATGAGAATGTCCCATTTGGAAGAGAAAACGTTGCAGCAGCTTTGAAAAGTGGACAAATATTAATCAAGTAAAATTGAAATTGAATCTATGTTAAATATTATTGTTTTTAATTGCCTGTCATTGATTGGAGCGAACTGATCAGTCATTGTTAGTATATGTGCTTCTGCACCGATGCCTCCATATTGTCTGTTTTTTACAGTTTAGTATTAATGATCAACAGTAGATAGGAGAGGAATGCAGGAAGTGAGTTTCATCATATGTGGGACTCGTAAGCTGGATTTACCTGCCTCCTAGTGGATCGTGTTACTCTCACGAGGACCGATCGTTTCAAATGCCAGAGAGTTATCCTCTAGACCACTGAGTCATGCTTACTGAGTTAACTTCAAAAGTACTTGAGTAAAATCTAATTTTAAAGTGTAGGTTTGTTATCCTATGTTAATTAGCCTACTGAAAGTTTTGAACTTCCATCTTATATCTGCTGAAATCTTCAGTAGAGTCTATGTAAAACCCTAAGGGAACTTCTTTCTCTTGCGGTCACTAGATATTTCTGGTCTGAAGGTCTGTAAAAGGTGGGAGCTCAAAATCCAAATTGGTCATTAAGCTATAATGTGACGTTTATTATTGTTATGCTGCAAAAATAACTAGCCAATTTATTGGTTAAAGGTTTGTGAAGATTGATTGATTACAAGGTGGCATGCATCACAAAATGATGTCATTTGGAGAACCATTGACAGAGAACTGGAGAACCGGACAGCTATTTTTTCTTGGCTTGGAACTCCTCAGTAACGCAAACTAACGATCCAACCCACCTATCTGGTGTTGTCAGGTTTTCAGTGATTCTCCAGTCAATGTTAGTCTCTACTGACTACCACCGGGATAATGAGTAAAGACAGAAACAACAGTGTTATCATGCGAAATGAGTCCTGTGTCATAGTGTGATTCCACAGGAGATTAGTTTATTCAGTTTGTCTCATAGCAATACAATACTGGTCTAGTGAAATTTTCAATTATCGCTGTGCATGCACTGACTAATAATCGCGCTAAAAATTGTAGCAAGGTGATATTTCTATAATACAGTTTGATGCATAGATTGGTTATTTAATTTATCCTTATCTAGTTAATACCTCAAATATTCAATCAGAATGGTTCACCACGTACATTTCCGTTAAATTCTTCTTCCATTGAGATTTGAAGATTGAGCAGATGTTGAACTAAGAAGATGGAATAGTGTTGTTATTTGTATTATCAAATACAAGTAACAACATAAAAACCATACCCGTCGAACAAAAAGTAGCTGCCATGGCTCGGTGGCCTATTGGATAACGTTCTGGAGTTTGAAGCGTTCGGTGACGAGTCCGAATCCCAGTAGGAACAACGTTAATCACTGAGAAGCAGTCACATACAGCCAATGAGTCCCAAATAGAGCGAGACGCGTATCGTAGGTTAAGCTGCCAGACACTATCCATCATCAATATGAAAATGGAGTTTGAAAATTGTTTGATGTGTTTGATATGATGAAAAATGTCCTTCAAGAGTCATCTGGCCATTGTAACTGTACTGTAATATCATTGATTGTATCAAATAAACTCCGTCTAATAGAAAATTAACCTCCTACAGTTGAACAGTTAACTGGTTACTGGCCCGTCCTAAGCCCGCATAAAGAGGAAAGAATGGGCATACGGTTAGCAACCCTACCCAACAAAACAAATACAATCCCTAAAGAAACTTCAAAGCACAATGAAAATATAAAAGTAAACTCATTCCTCACTGGAATCAGAGAGACGAAATGATGCCGGTTGGTGAAAGACTTCGAGAAGACAATTGGTAAGTGTGTGTTCGCCTCTCTCGATGAAACCCAAAAGTAAGCATGGAGACATGGAATGTCCGAACAATGTGTGAAGCTGGTTGACAAGGCTGCCCAGATTGCAAAAGAGATGAGAAGGTGTGGCATAGAAGTGTCAGGCTGGGAATCTGTGAATGCAGATGGAATGGAATGGGACTGTCAACTGGAGAGGAGTCAATAATCTGCTCCAATATTGTCACACAGACGACACGACACTACACTACACTACACGACACGACACGACAACCACGAGCACAGCACACTGAGTTTTCGAGTGACTATCATGATAACCCCTACCAACAGCATCGAAGGCTCTCTCTCACGCAATGGGAACCAATCTCCTCCTCAACCATCAGGATCACGATCAGGATCAGGATCATGACAGCAAGATGAATTCAACTAGAAAGGAGGGAAAGTCACAACCATACAATACTACACTACACACCTACAAATAATGCAGATCAGGAAGAGAAGGAGGAGGAATTCTACAGACAACTGCAGTCAGTAATGGACTAGACCCCACCCCAGTTGGTGATGGCGACAACAAAATTCATTCTAATGGGTGTGGTGACATGACTGTGGAACTGGGAGTGGACAACACAGGAAGAGAACTGATCATGTGTCGAGAAGCACTCAGTGAAGTGATGAACGAGAATGGAGAATTGTTTGCAGACTTCTGAGCATTCAATGATTTGGTGATTGGAGGCGAGGCAGTGTGCACAAACACAAGGATATTCATGAGGCAGCGACATGGATTTGATTTGACCAGACACCAGGACACACTACACTGAGAATCAATCACATCGACTTCATGTGAATGTGAATAAAGTGGAGATGGAGATGCAGCCAGCCTACTGGACACAAGATGAGATGAGGGAGGGAGCAGATGTAGGTTGACACCACTCACACCACTATCTAGTGCAATGAAGTTGAAGGCGTTGAATTCAAAGAAGCTGGTTGTGATAGAGCACAGTTGAATGAAGTTCGAGTTCAACAGCGAGAACAGAAAGTGAAGTGAATGACGAAACTTCGAAGGACATCTTCACATTAGTTAGCCATTAGGAAAAATTGGGAGACATTGAGCAACATCGGTGAAGAAACCTGCGTGGAAGAACAGTGGAACTCTTTGGAAGGTACATGGCTGGAAACCTGCATAGGCGTGTTAGGAATGGAGAAGAAGCTAGACAAGGAATGGACTTTTCCGAATACATGGAAGCTGGTAGAGGAGGGAGAGGAAGATGGCGCAGCAGACGATGAACCAGTGCAATGCAGTGTAGGGATGAACAACGAAAAGAGGAACTGAACACAACGTACAAAACATTGGACAAAGAAGTGAAGAAGAATGCATGGAGAAACCCGACAGATAGCTGCTACCTTGACGTGGTGGTCGGACTTGCATATCACATTGACACAACGAGCTATACTGGTGGAACACTTGTTCCCTCGAGGTCCTACCAGAAAGGTCTGTCGGATAGTTGTTAGACAAAAAGCCATTATCGTTGTGGTGTAAATTACTACACTATGATGGGGGTCTGAGGGCCAATTCGTACTGCTGTCAGCTGGATGGTGTGTGACAGCAGTAAGACGTTTCCACTGGACGACCAGCAGTGCCATGCTGATGCTGCTTTCTCAGTGGAAGGCGGAGTTAGAAAAGGTCGGCCACAAAAACAACACACTCCACCATGCCCCGTGGTCTACCGGACTGGTGGCGTTGGTTCATTTGTCGTTTCTTTTCCACCATCCGGTCCCAAAACAACAAAAGTTTTAAGTAGTCATTCACAAAAGGCTGGGCGTGACAGGCTTCATACAGATGTCCGATGGGCTCTGCGGTCACACAAATCTCTTTCACGTACCTTTAGAAAAATAGCCTTTCACTGTAAGGGCAGCCGAAAAGTGTCAGTTGCCCTCATAACTTTGTGAGGACTCAGGTTTCCTCAGACTGCTATCCATTTCTCCATCAATACCTTCTAATCTTCCTTCACGTCTCTCAACTAACGATACTACGCCATCTTCAATTTCTCCTAGCTCTAAAGCCTTCGACAACGATCTGAGTTCAAAGAACAGCATCACTGGTCTCCTTAAACTACGCTCCAAATTACACATCGAGGCCTTCGATGCCCGCAATCTCTGTCAAATTGGTCACCAGGCTTCATTGGCCAAGACTCTAGCGACTTGGGTCATGGGTGTGTGTTGTGTTCGTGGGACACGCATAAGGACCAAAGTGCTGTTATTCACCTGACCGGCCAATGTAGTGGATCTGCAAAATTCACACTTCGAGTTTCTGGAGATCTGATAGCTCTCGCGTTCTTGTAGATGTAGGCATAGCACTAAGCACTAGGGCAGAAAACTCACTACTAGACTGGATCCCAATTGATAGTCGCCTCTACGCTATCCGACTGAATGGCACGGTGAGAACTAAAAGGAATAGTGAGACTCGCCGTTGTCTCTTTGTAATCTCTGCTTATGCGCCCAATGGCTGTAGTTCGGATGAAGTGAAGGATGAGTTCTACCTTAAACTGTCTAGCCTCCTCTCGAAAGCCAAACTCTCGGACGTGGTAGTTGTTGCAGGTGACTTCAATGCACAGATGGGTAGACTGAGTGAGGCAGAAAGGCCCTTAGGTGGGACTTTCGGAATCCCAGCTGAACGTACAGATAACGGTGATCGCCTATTACAACTATGCTCAGATAACCGCCTGTTTTTAGCCAGCACCAATTTCAGACATAAAAAAAGACACTATCTGACCTGGCGTCCACCGATCTCAACTCAGCGACGCAGTGCAGTGCACTCAGCATAATTCGGGAACAAGATCCGGGTTTTCAATACTAATTTCAGTCAAGTTAGTGCTTCTATGTGATGGTTGAGATACTTGGCGCGTCACGAAAAGCACTTCCAACAAACTACACATATTCAGCAATAGCTGCCGCCTTCGCTGGATCGAAACTGACACTGAAGATCAGATGGATTGCCAGAATAATAAGGAAAAGCAACAAAGAACTCACTCTGGCCTGGAAGAGGAGCAACCAAGAACCCATCACCCAACCAATATGCAGAGGGAAGTGGAGATGTATTGGATTGGGTGTACACTGAGGAAACCATTTGGAGACGTCACTCGCCAAGCCAGGTACTCGAGTGGAATGTGGATGGGAAACGATGAGTTGGGCTTCCGAGGCGAGGGTGTCATGGAAGAGATCATGTGAGGAAGAAATGAGAGCTTGTGGTCAGTGGTTCAAAAGACTGAAGAGAGGAGAGTGAAATGTCGACGTGGTAGTGAATCCCTTTGTTCTACTAGGAACCCAGGGGACAAACAATAATGATAATAATAATAATAATAATAGTCATACAGAACCAATAATGTATTCAGCATCTCATCATATTTGTTGGTGCATTATTTGTAGCATGTAGTTTACGTGACAGTATGTATCGGATGAGATTTCGGCGTTGGACAAGGCTGAATTTCTAAATTAGTATTGGCTAGTCAAATGTCGTAACCTCGCCTGGTTAACTAGTTTACTAGTTACTAGCCGGTCCTAAGCCCGGGTAAAGAGGGAAGGTTGGGCATAGGGCTAGCAACCCTACCCCGTAAAACAAATCTAACCGCTAAACAAACTTCAAAGCACAAACAAAATATAAAAAATGAAAACAAACTTATTCCCCGCTGGAATCGGAGAGGCGAAATGACGCCAGTTGGTGAAAGCCTTCGGGAAGCCAATTGGCCGATGTGTCTTCTCTCGATGAAAGCGAAAGTAAACGTGGGGACATGGAATGTCCGCACGATGTTTGAACCCAGTAAGGCAGCCCAGATTGCAAAGGAGATGAGAAGGTATAACATCGAAGTGCTTGGGATTTGCGAAAGCAGATGGAATGGGAGTGGACTCTCCAAACTGTCAACGGGAGAATCAATAATCTACTCCGGTCACCCAGACGCCAACCACGAGCACACTGAGGGAGTGGCTATCATGATGTCCTCAAGAGCATCGAAGGCTCTCATGCAGTGGGAACCAATCTCCTCCAGGATCATGTCAGCAAGATTCAACTCAAAAGGAAGAAAGGTCACAATCATACAATGTTATGCACCTACAAATAATGCAGAGCAAGAGAAAAAGGAGGAATTCTACAGACAACTTCAGTCAACACTGGACAAGACGTCAGTTGGCGATATCAAAATTCTAATGGGCGACATGAATGCCAAACTGGGAGGGGACAACACGGGAAGAGAACTAACCATGGGTCGAGAGGCGCTAGGTGAAATGAATGAGAATGGAGAATTGTTTGCAGAATTCTGTGCATTCAACGATTTGGTGATTGGAGGCAGTGTGTTCAGGCACAAAGATATCCACAAAGCGACATGGATTTCACCAGACACCAGGACACACTACAAAAAATCAAATCGACTTTATCTCAATCTCAAGAAAATGGAGACGCAGTCTACTTAACACAAGGTCAAGAAGAGGAGCAGATGTAGGTTCAGACCACTATCTAGTGCAAGGAACCTTCGAAATCAAGTTAAAAGCCTTCAAGGAAGCTGGTGATAGACCTCAATTCAAGTACAACACTCGGAAACTGAAGGATGAAACTACAAAGGAGATCTTCACGGCAGCCATCAAGACAAAATGGGAGACATCGAGGGACATCCCTGAAGAAACCTGTGTGGAAGAACACTGGAAGTCTTTGAAAGCTATGTGGAAAGAAACCTGCACAACAGTATTAGGAAGGAAGAAGGTGGAAGACAAGGAATGGATCTCGACGGATACCTGGAAGCTGATAGAGCAGGGAGAGGAGGATGGTGAAGCAGAAGATAAACCAGTGCAAGGATGCTCAACGACAAGAGGAACTGAGCACAATGGACAAAGAAGTGAAGAAGAGTGCACGCAAAGACAAAAGACACTTCTACGAAACACTGGCAAGTGAAGCAGAACAGGCTGCAGGTAAGAGAGACCTGACGACATTGTATCAAATAACCAGGTTGCTATCAGGGAAGAGACCAACACAGATGAAACCAATAAAAGATGAAGAAGGAAATTTAATTACAAAAGAAGAGAAACAGAGGAAACAATGGGCCGACCACTTCAAGAAGCTCTTGAATCGACCACCACCTGCACTTCGTCCAGAAATACCACCTGCAGCCGCTGAACTACAAGTGAACATTAATCCCCCAACGAAAATGGAAGTCCTGAACGCCATAAAGCTACTGAAATGCGGGAAAGCAGCAGGACCAGATGGAATACCGCCAGAAGCACTGAGAACAGATGCAGAGACAACAGCGGACATGCTCACACCACTATTGCAGAAGGTGTGGAAGGAAGAGAAGGTACCTGACGATTGGAAGAAGGGTTACCTTGTCAAACTGCCGAAGAAGGGAGACCTCAGTGCTTGCAAGAACTGGCGCGGAATCACTCTCCTGTCCACCCCAAGTAAAATATTAAGCCGCATCATCCTGGAGAGGCTTAAAGACGTACTGGATTCAAAACTGCGACCGGAACAGGCAGGCTTCAGGAAGTACAAATCATGTGCAGACCAAATTGCAACGCTTCGCATCATCATAGAACAGAGCATAGAATGGCAATCAGCTCTCTACCTCAACTTCATCGACTTTGAGAAGGCCTTTGACAGCGTCGACCGAGAAGTAATTTGGAAACTGCTTCAATACTACGGAGTACCGCAAACCTTTATCCGCCTCATTCAACAACTATATGAAGATGCCACATGCCAAGTAATTCACAATGGGAAGCTCAGTGATGCTTTTGAAGTGAAGTGAAGACAGGAGTGAAACAAGGTTGCCTACTATCCCCCATGATATTCCTTATTGTGGTGGACTGGATCATGCAGCAAACAGTAGGCAGCGAGAAGAGGGGGATACACTGGACGACGGAAAAGAACCTAGAAGACTTGGATTTCGCCGATGACTTATGCCTAATGTCACATAAACTTGAAGATCTGCAGGCAAAAACTAACAAGTTGATAGAAGAGGCAGCTAAGACGGGACTTCAGGTGAATATAGAGAAGACAGAAGTGATGAAGATACCGCACCACCATCAACAACAACAACAACAAACTCCAATCACCGTCAACGGTAGAAACTTGAAGGAAGTAACCTCCTTCACTTATCTAGGAAGCACTGTTTCAACTACAGGCGGGACGGACGAGGACGTCAAAGTCAGAATCGGAAAAGCAAGACAGGCGTTCATTAGCCTGAAACCAGTGTGGAGATCTTCTGCACTCAGCATGCGGAACAAGATACGGATTTTCAACACCAACGTCAAGTCAGTGCTCTTGTATGGCTCAGAGACTTGGCGCGTCACGAAAGGCATTTCCAATAAACTACAGACATTCATCAACAACTGCTTACGCTCGCTGCTGAAGATCAGATGGCCAGAAAAAATAAGCAACAAGGAACTCTGGGAACGAACCAACCAAGAACCTATCACGCAACAAATATGCAGGAAGAAGTGGAGATGGATTGGCCATGCACTGAGAAGGCCGACTGAGGACATCACGCGTCAGGCCAGTTGCTCGAGTGGAATCCCCATGGGAAGCGACGAGTTGGACGTCCTGAGGGTGACATGGAGGAGGTCGTGCGAGGAGGAAATGAGAGCTTCTGGGCTGTCGTGGGACCAGGTTCAAAAGATCTCAGAGAACAGAGTTCACTGGAGGCGTGCTACTGAAGCCCTATGTTCCACTAGGAACCCAAGGGACTAATAATAATAAAATAATAATAGTCAAATGTCGTATAAATTTACTTCATATTACTACCTTGACGCCTAAAGAACACCAATGGAAATGGTCTTATTGCATAATGAAAATTAAAGACAATTCAGCGAAGATAATTTCCTTTACGACGAATCATTTTTAAAAGCTGTAAATCGTAATCATATATATATATATATATATATATATATATATATATATATATATCCATGAATGTCAAATGGGTCAGTACAAGGTCTTCAGGTCACAAGATGATAATAGCTAATTGATCCGATCAAGGTCGTTAAAAGCTGCTAGTATTCTTGTAGTATACAAACCCAGAAATGAATAAACTATCTTGAGGAAATTACAACCAAGGCAAAATTAGAGATTGAATGTATCTTTCTTGAAGACAAGGACTAGGTTTTGTAATGCTGGTGTACCAGAGCCTCTGCTGTGTTGAGGTGGCGAATACGCACTCACTTTGAACTATTTGCTTTCACGTTGTAAATGACTTTGGAAAAGGACTCTTGTGGAGTGTAGAGAGCAGATATAAGCAGCTTGTTTCTTGAGCATTTGGCTGGATACGGTCACTGTGCTCCATGAGAGTCTTCTTTCAAATTCATTTATAACGTGAAGGTGAACATTTCGAAGTGAGTGAGTATTCGCCACCTCAACACAGTAGAAGCTCTGACAATCCAACACTACAAAGCTGGTTTTCGTCTTCAGAAAAGATACAATCAATCTCTAATTTCAGCTTGGTTGTAATCTCCCTAAGATAGTTTATTCATTTCTTTGTTTATTTATCATAATCCTATAAGAAATTTTTGGTGACTTTGATTTGACCTATTAGTCATCATCACCTTGTGACCTTCTTCACTGTTTTCGATGACCTTATATTGACCCATTTGCCACTGATAGATAGGTATATTTTGTTGTAACTATGATTATCATGTATGACACACTATAAACTTATCTGCCACCGTTCAAATGAATTCTCACCTGTCAATAGTACTGAGAACGTGAAGAGTGAGATATTGTGCTCATAATGCTTGGAATACTCTTTCAATTTTCACCTGTATTCTACCAGTTACTGACATTCAATAAAATACAAAGGGAACTATGTTAATATATAGCTAATCTTTGGTATGTAATATAAAATCTTCTTCTGGTCACAAGCAAGTGGAGTCCGTAACTATTCCACTTCCAGTATTTAATCTAAACAGTGTTGTAAACCATCCCTAGGAAATAATTTCATTCATCAGGTGTTAAGTGCATATCACATACACCCTTGTTATTCATACGGAACCGGCCAATTTATTTTTACACTGTAAGATATTGAGAGTTAATCATTAGGAAGTTTTCTTTTGAACACTCTCCAGGAGGACATATTTCTAATCAAAAAGAAAGTGGTGATCCTCCGGTGATTTGAACCTGCATCACACAGTGCTGAAGTAAGGGGATTAACTATTAGACCATTTATGCTGTGTATTACCCTCATTAGGACATTTTACTGTAAAATACAGTACATCTCAGCCGCTTCAGACTTAGCTAAATGGGTGAATTGAAAAATTCAGTCTACAGGTTTCAATGAGCGCTGAGTATTAAGCAATAGGCAACTACAACTTGATGGATATTAGTTGGTTGGAGGCAGTAGGCAGGAAGCCCTGTCACACATAGGTTTCGTGCTTGTTGGCACTTGTCGGCATGGTGTATCTGCAACCACAAGGTTGGAGTGGTAGTGTCGCGGACTCCAATACTGGGTGATGTGGGTTTGAATCCCACAGGGGACATCACTTCCCTTGACCTTTCAAATCGCCTTGGTGACGGATGTCAAAATGCCCGAAATCTATGTGGACAGGGCTTTCTGCTGACTCCCTCCAACTAAGTAAGTTGCACCAAAGTACATCACGATGGTGAACATCAAAGCTTGAGGTTGACTGTTCTTCAGTGATTAATCAATGCAGGCAACTACACTAGTTATCTGTTAATGATCCCTTCTTGATAGTGATTTTTATCTTCTTCCTTTAAAGTCTGCATATCTAAGGGATGAGTCGCTTGCTTAGATCGTCAGATTTTTTATTTCATTCACTCACAGGTTGGCTAACGCTGTGTTCGATGGTACTCCATCACTTCCCCCTGCAGCAGCTAAGATGAAGAGACCATTTAAAGCGAATTCAATGACTGCCCCTTTCAAACAAGTAAGTGGAACAGTTTTCTTTAAAATAAATAAATAAAGTTAAGATTATATTCGATATGAAATGTGCATTCACTAGAAATAAATAAAATTTTTATGATACCCTCCTCCAAGCTATTTGGTACTGAACATTCCAGTGATACTATATTCTATTTCTGGCTAGAAGTTGTGATAGGATGTTACTTGGAATATCTCTCATTTGTATATCTTTCAGTAGTCGGTCAGTACTGAATCTGAGACCAAGTTATAGCCTACCCAATCTTAACACTTTATCTTGTATCTGTCAGCCACACAGGGAGCTCGATTAGGCAGGCGTATCTTTGGATACAAAACATTTACTGGTTTTGTTTAGGACAGATGAAGTGAAAGCGGTAAAAAGTTCTACCCAGTGCGTCGAGTAAACAAAGGGGATCACTTAGATGCTAATAAAGCAGTTAATACCATACATCGTGTTACCGAAAGTAGTGCCACATGTAGCTCACCAACACCCGCTCCAGTTAGCTGAGGCTGTTGTAATAAGACTGATCAACCCTGAACTGTGAATTCAGAAACAACATACTTAAAAGTTCCATATTAGATTTGTTTATTTGATTTAGAACACAGTGTGATACAGTATTATTTATTTGATGACGTTTCGAGCATAAATTATCATTGCTCATGATCATAACAATGACACTGAATTGATTTCTACCACAGTGCCCAAGTTGTACACCTATATTAATGCTCAAAATTTATTCCTCCCTTAACCTTCAATAGACTGAAGGCCACTTCTATCCTCCTTATATGTTATCTTTTCTTTTACCGTCACATTCTTTATGTGATGGATGCTGCTGTCCTAAATGACGAAGATATATGTCACTTTGATACAAGAAACATTTTTCTTGGTAATTATGCTGCTGATTACCCCATTAACGAGTTAAGAAACAGAATTATTTTTCTTACAGGCTATGCGGAAAGTGTAGTGGATTCTGAAAGCTGCTTTATCTTGTGTAAGGATGCAGCAGGTTGTTTCTGGCAGTAAAACACATTTGAACAAGTTGAAAAACTGATTTTTGACTAAAGTAATGAATCAGAAGAGGATGAAGTGGATGTGGAAATGATTATTCAACTGTTTAAACAGATAGGAAATTGAGTCTGAGACAATTAACCAAAATCGGAAATATCAGTTGCTTCATATTCATAAGTGCCAATCATGTATTTTACTTTATTTGTGAATTTTTTTCAGATGGAAAATATCCAAACTTTCCTAAATGCAGCCAGTGCCTACGGGGTACCCAGAGCCAGTCTATTTCAAACGGTTGATCTGTATGAATTACGTAATATGCCACAAGTTTTAAACACAATACTACAACTTGGAACGGAAGTTAGTTGACCTTTGAAAATTTCTTGTTTCCTTGTTTTGTTTTAGAAATTTTATTCAAATATCTGAGTAGTGCGGTAACTACTGAAAACCATGTTATTTTAAACCTGGTTTGATGAACTAGTTCACTAGTTACTAGCCAGTCCTAAGCCCACATAAAGAGGAAAGAATGGGCATACGGTTAGCAACCCTACCCAACAAAACAAATACAATCCCTAAAGAAACTTCAAAGCACAATGAAAATATAAAAAGTAAACTCATTCCTCACTGGAATCAGAGAGACGAAATGATGCCGGTTGGTGAAAGACTTCGAGAAGACAATTGGTAAGTGTGTGTTCGCCTCTCTCGATGAAACCCAAAAGTAAGCATGGAGACATGGAATGTCCGAACAATGTGTGAAGCTGGTTGACAAGGCTGCCCAGATTGCAAAAGAGATGAGAAGGTGTGGCATAGAAGTGTCAGGCTGGGAATCTGTGAATGCAGATGGAATGGAATGGGACTGTCAACTGGAGAGGAGTCAATAATCTACTCCAATATTGTCACACAGACGACACGACACGACACGACAACCACGAGCACAGCACACTGAGTTTTCGAGTGACTATCATGATAACCCCTACCAACAGCATCGAAGGCTCTCTCTCACGCAATGGGAACCAATCTCCTCCTCAACCATCAGGATCACGATCAGGATCAGGATCATGACAGCAAGATGAATTCAACTAGAAAGGAGGGAAAGTCACAACCATACAATACTACACTACACACCTACAAATAATGCAGATCAGGAAGAGAAGGAGGAGGAATTCTACAGACAACTGCAGTCAGTAATGGACTAGACCCCACCCCAGTTGGTGATGGCGACAACAAAATTCATTCTAATGGGTGTGGTGACATGACTGTGGAACTGGGAGTGGACAACACAGGAAGAGAACTGATCATGTGTCGAGAAGCACTCAGTGAAGTGATGAACGAGAATGGAGAATTGTTTGCAGACTTCTGAGCATTCAATGATTTGGTGATTGGAGGCGAGGCAGTGTGCACAAACACAAGGATATTCATGAGGCAGCGACATGGATTTGATTTGACCAGACACCAGGACACACTACACTGAGAATCAATCACATCGACTTCATGTGAATGTGAATAAAGTGGAGATGGAGATGCAGCCAGCCTACTGGACACAAGATGAGATGAGGGAGGGAGCAGATGTAGGTTGACACCACTCACACCACTATCCAGTGCAATGAAGTTGAAGGCGTTGAATTCAAAGAAGCTGTTTGTGATGGACCTCAGTTGAATGAAGTTCGAGTTCAACAGCGAGAACAGAAAGTGAAGTGAATGACGAAATTTTAAAGGATATCTTCACGACACCATTGTGAATAAATAATCAGAATAATTATGAATAGGTTTTTCTAACTGATCTGGTTTGATTACAGTCAAGAAACTGCACTCAAATTCTCATCTGATATTGTCAACAGAATGCATCATGTTAGCGGTATCAGGTAACCAGGGATATTGGCTATCTTAAAAAGAAGAAGTAGAGGTTAGTAGCAGCTGAAGGTAAAAATCATCAACTGGATTTACCTGCATTTCAGTGAGGGATTTTTTTCCAACTTATACTCGAACCTGGTACCGAGCGTTTCAAACGCCAGAGCATTATTCGCTAGACCATTGAGTTACGGTAACCACTTCTTGTTCAACGGTATAGGTTATGGTGTTTATTGTATTATACCGTCTTTGAGTGGACCGAATTGACCGGTCTCTAATGATATATGGACTTCTGCGCGGATGCCTGGATATTACTTGTCATTTCAGTTTTATGGTAATGATAATACAAGTAACGACATAAAAACGATACTTGTCACACAGGATGTGGCTATCGTTACTTAGTGGATTCAAGGATAACGTTCTGTCATTCGAAGCTATTGGTCCTGGGTTAGAGTTCCTGTGGGAACAACATCGCTCACTAACTGGCAGGTACGTCCAGCTGACGAGTCTCAAATAGGAGGAAAAGCATGTCCCAAGTTTTATTGATAGCCGATATCCATCGTTGTTATATACCTGAGACATAGGCAATGTCGAGGGATCCGCCAATAGAGACCAAACGATTTGGTTTAATCGACGATGGGGTAATGAAAATAAAAACATTTATTACGCTAGTTGTTCAAGAAAAGAAAGCTAGGATTACAATTCAAACAATCATCTGAATTTTATTCAGAAAAGGTATCGTAACTTCATACAATTTTAGTTACGATACTTGACAACAAAGCTAGAGCAACTCGTTTCCGTATAGCAACGGGAAAATTCAAGTATCATAACAACAACTGATACCCGTTGCACAAAAGGTGGTTTTTGTACCCTAGTTGCTTAGTGGATAGTGCGCTGGCGTTTGAACCGAAGGGTACTGGTGCTTTGTCTCAGTGGGAAAAACACCAATCACTGGGGTGGTGGTACATCCATCTGACGAATCCCAAATGGGACGAAATGCGCACCAATATAACCTCATACATTTCTTTCCCTTGACAAGTTTAAATCAAACGAGAACGGGAGTTTTTGCAGACTAGCCTGGATCCATTTTATTTCGGAATTTGCTGACAACCTAAGACAATTTTTATATCAATTTATGCAAAATGTTTGCATATTTGCATGAGTTTTGGTAGAAAATTATTGACCTGAAATAAATATAACACTGATGTGACGTGCTTGTAGACACACGAATTAAATGAATAAATAGGCAAGAACTAACAGTTAGTTTGCCACTATATAGAAGGATTAGAGGAATATTCCAGAACAGAAGTTGGATAAGATTTCAGGAGACACATGTATTCAACATGTTAAGAAAGGTTATATAAAATATGCGTGAAAAAGGTGAGAAACTTCAAGTTATATGGCAAAACAGGACGAGCAGAACTCAGAATATTCTGGTCAAGGATCTAAAGTGGAATAACAGTAAACTGAATAAATCGACAGTGATGTGGTAAGAACCCGAGGAGTCTCAACAACCCAAACGTTTTTATCATGGTAAGGACAGACTGATGATTATTATTTGAGTGTCTGAGATAGCCGTAGTTTGGCAGACTAGTATTTATACTGGGTAATAATTGAAGGTGAGATGGAAGTCTGGACCGTGGTCGATTGGATACAGAGACCACCGGGTTACCAGCCCGGTGCTCTACCAACTGGGCCATGAGGTCCGACTACTGACCGGAATTTTATTTCACTTCAATCACGAAGTGTTTTGCCCGACTACCGTGTAAATTAGTGACGCGTTACCACCCCTTAATCGTATCCACACTGGCTGCTGAGTCAGATTTAGATAGTCAAATGATAATCAATATGATGCTCCGCCTCTCTGATTCAGTTAGATTTGGATTGGGATGAGAAGTCCTGACTACGCAGCCAGTCTGAATACGATGAAGCGGTAGTAAGGCTTCACTAATTTACATGGTAGTCGGGCAAAACACTTCGTGATTGAAGTGAAATAAAATTCCGGTCAGTAGTCGGACCTCATGGCTCAGTTGGTAGAGCACCGGGCTGGTAACCCGGTGGTCTCTGTATAGAATCTGACCACGGTCCAGATTTCCATCTCACCTTCAATCATCACCCAGTATCATCATTTGATAATTGTTTCTTTCTGAACACAAGTTCGGTTTTAGTCGTTTAAACTGTTAACGCTTAAGGGAAACGTAATAAATTAGAATTCTTCTGTTTATTAATTATTGTCAACTATTTCTTGGTATCATCTTTATATCTGGCTATCAATAAGAGGATGAGCAATAGCGCTGTTAAAAACTTTTCCATCTTTCAGTCGTAAATTCCTTAGAATATACGTAGAAATAAAGTAACAATTCCTTCTTTTCTTTCGTTTAATGTATATGCTTTGGAACGTACATGTGAATTGGTATATACGCTTATAAGTAACGTAAAGAGGGAGCTTGTCAAATTTTAGTTTTCTCAGTGAGGGATTCGTTCAATAAAGTACAACTAACATATCAGTTGGACAGGTCTTTTTTAATGTAGCATTTATTCAGTAATTTTAATTTTCCAAAAAATATCATTAACCTTTAAATGAAGATTTAGGAAAGTAAGCTTCTTCTCAACTATATCACACTTTACAGTTTTAGTTGGTATATTCTTGCACTTATTGATGATACTCTGCGGACATCCATTATCATGAAGGCCATTTTCAAAAATAATCATTTCCTCCTCTAGTATGCTTTCTGCAGAAAGGTGCCTGATGCAATCGAAGAGTGTTTTCACTAGCCCTTTCTTATGACTTGTGTAACGAAAACTGTTGGAATTAAGATCAATTATACTACAGGAATCTTTATGATGGATACGTTTCAGTATATTAACATCTATATTTCGTTGAATTTCCAGATCAAGGAGTTGATCTACTCATTCTCTTTATATTCAATTAGAAATTCAATGTATTGTGTGTTTCATTGAGTAGACTAAGCAAACACTAAGCATGTTTCAGGTTACTGAGAATAACGTATGCGTTATCACCATATCTACTGCAGAAGGTTTTCTCATTGATTCCATACTTCATAGTTGTACATTCAAGGTTTTCCATAAAGATATCAACTAGAATGGTACCAAGGGGACTGCTTATCGTCACTTCATAAACTCGAAGATGCAGAATGTGCACAAGAGTGGAAGGTGTTTGAATTGTTCTTTGGGTAGAGGCAGAAGATCAGAATGGTGACATGTAATCTGTCCAGTATGTTCTAAAAATATCCTTATGTCGCAAAAATACCTTGAACTCACTGGAAATGTTTAGTCCTTCCAGTTTTCGTGGAATTTCACAGATATCACAAATCACTTTCAAGTGCTCCACTAACTAACCACCAAGTTTATGGAAGGGTGACTACCGCAGACACTGTGTGTCTCATGAGAAAATTAAGTCATATTAGTATTGTAGACGGGATCTTGAGTTCATCGAAGACCAAGTTAGCAATGAATTTCTGCTTCAAGAGATCACACAACTTTCTTATTATCCGCTTTTTTACAGCTTCAGTCATATATTTGTTGAAAGTGACAGTTATGAGTCTTGATAAATCCTCTAGGACTGATTTTATTTTATGTATATATTCATGGTTGTTCCTAATAATTACACCAGATCCCTTGTCAGGTCGGAAGATTACAACCGTCTCGTTATTCATTAAATTTCTCAGTGCTGTTCTGTGATCATTAGATAAGACTTTAGGCTATGGAACTGATGATAGGATATATTGGTTATCGATATCAATCAGTCTAGATTTAAACCAACCTACTTTCCCATCATTCATGGGTTTTGATTCTGGTAGTTGGTGATGGATGTTCTTCACCACTTCTGTCACATTTCCTGAGGATGCAAAACTCGAAACAAAGCAGTCAAGCTAATTTTAACCTAAAGTCCTTCATTTTGGCTTCTTGTATCCGTTTCCAAAATAAAGACTAAGATAATCAGTTCTCATAGGCACTCGGTAGTTCATCAGTTTGCATATTTAAAATCGTTTAACACATAAATCTGTGATTATTTTAAATGATGCACATGAATCTTTCCATGCGTAACATCAAGGTATCGACTTAATTTCATGTTTCCATTCCCTCTTTATTAAAATCTATCTTCGTCACTTAGTTTTCTTAAGGATATGATTATTAATAGACTGCAAAGAATGAGAGCTTACATATTAAATAGGTTACCTTTGTTGTTCTCTGGAGGTAACTAAGGTGTTCCCGAAGGTTTTATTCTATCAGTAACACACCACTCTTCAAGGTTATGAATATTGGAGATCCTGTACTCAATACAGTTAAAGTCGTCACAATAACAACAATTCCCACAATGTTTGACCTTGACAATTTCGAAAATTTAGAAGATATGAATATGGTTGTTTTATGTGCAAAAAAGAGATTCTGCCCGAGTAAAAACATCTCGGCCAAGAGATAGCATAGGTCAGCAATTATAGTTTACATGCTTTTTCCTGGTGTTACCAGGTGGTTTGGAATTCAATTACTAGTCACCAGTCAAAAAGCATAAAACACTTTGAATATTTAGACTACTTAGTAAGTTATAAGTAGGCAAAAATGAAGCTCAAAATAAAAAGCGTTGCATCTGTATGCTATGTTAAATAAACAAAGTAATGTGGAATTACATTCTACCACAGTCCCATAGTTGAACGCTTATATTTATAAAGCTCAAAAAGGGCTGAATAGCAAAACTTCATTCATTGGTTTTACTACAAAATTAAGAATGTGGGACTTTCAATATTTAGTTTTTCATTGTCACTACTTACAATTCTTTAAAAAATCCCTGAAGGAATTTTGATTATACAAATGGATGGTAGGAAGTTTTAGAAAACGGATGTAAGCTGAACAGCCTTTGAAAGTAAAATGAGTGTCGACAACCATCTAACCAATAATCCAAGATTACTATCTGTTACAGCCCACTCCCAGATTAAACCAAAGATAACCAAGTAATATGGCTATGCCCCGTTCACTTATTTGCCATTTTCGAATATTCTGTATTCCAGGTCTATTTATTACCTGTAAAATATTTTTCCTATTTTTTTTGAACAGTGTCAACGAAACAATTTCAATGGACCTGTATGTGGACCAAAACCTACTTATGAAAATAGACGTGAATTCACTGAGGAACAGTTGAGAGCATCTGAAGGTATAATTGGTCTACAGGCTGGGACGAATAAATGCGCTAGCCAGGCTGGAATGAGTCATGGTGGACCACGTCATATTACAGACATCAAAGTGGATGCAGCATCTAAAGAAAGCCAAAGTGTTATTGGCCTTCAAATGGGTTCAAACAAAGGTGCTAGTCAGGCAGGTATGAGCCATGGTGGACCTCGTCACATTACAGACATCAAAGTGGATGCAGCATCTAAAGAAAGCCAAAGTGTTATTGGTCTTCAAATGGGTTCAAACAAAGGTGCTAGTCAGGCAGGTATGAGCCATGGTGGACCTCGTCATATTACAGATATTAAAGTAGATGCAGCATCAAAAGATGGTCAGAATATCATAGGTCTTCAAATGGGTACAAACAAAATGGCTAGTCAGGCAGGTATGAGTCATGGTGGTCAACGACATATCGCTGACATCAAAGTTGGTGATATTTCTAAGGAAGGGGCTAATGTTATTGGCTTACAAATGGGTGCAGGTAAAGATCAAGTAGCCTCACAATCTGGTATGAGTTTCGGTGCTCAACGTCATATTGTTGATTCACACTAAGTAAAAATCTTCATTATCTGCTTTTACTTAATCTTTCAAGGCTTTACGCTTAATAAGTGTCACACTATGAGAAAAAAAAATCATTCCTAACTTGTCTTATTATCGTTGTAATCTTTATGCTTTATCACCAAGTCTTTTATGCATAACCTTCAACATTGATCATGTTTATGCTTAAAATAAAGTATCGCAGCAGTAAGGCAGGAGAAATAAAAAATACCCCACAAATTCTTCATCTTCACACTTATTCTGTATCGAACTAAAGATTTTAACGCTGTATTTTATTTATTTAGTGGAGTTTTAATTCTGTTAGTATGAATTGAACATTGTTCAGTAAATCAACCAAGTGATCATGGTTACTTCATCCCAATTGTTGAATAATTTTCAATTATGTACACGTTGCACACTTTCAACATTGAGGGAATGTTTAATACTTGTCAGTGTTGAAGTTTTAGATAACGATTAAGCGATTAAATATTGATGCCTGACTTGAGGCATCACGTTCTTACTCAGCGTCAGGCATCATATATGATATTCCAAATGCTTTTATTGTTCATTTTGTTCAATTTAACTGATTTATTTTAAAATGGTTAACACAGTTTATCGAATCTATTTTTCATTGCTTCAGATCTTTTTCTTCTTTTCTCGCTTCTAATTTCCTTGTGAATGTATCTATCTTATTTTGCATGAATCGCTTCTCTTCATTCTTGCTAAGATATAATAATGTTATCAATAATAATCAATAAGTTGCCTTCAAAAGAATATACTTCATCTTGGTTCGCTTGTTCTTCACTTTTGTCGTCTTTTGTCCAGTGACTGACTGGTGGTTGTAATTTATATGTAAACTCATTAGACAGTCACTTGTATGAGTTAATTATAAGGTACTTAAATTCATAATAAGCAGGAAGTTTGTGTCACACAGATACGATGCTATTTGATGCTAGTGACACGATATTCCTTAAGGTCTAACAAGAAGCTACAGTTTATGAGCTTAATTCAGTTGGAAGTGTAGACAGATCCTCAGCATAAACAGTGAATGATGGTGACTGTTTCACAAGTTAGCTTAAGTTCGACAATACATACCTCTAGTTTATAAAATAATTGTCACGAGACATAATGGCTCCTTATTCTATCTCATATACACACACTGAGTAACAGAAGATCAGGAGGAAACAAGTATTCAGAATTTCATGTTTTTCAAATGTACCCTAGCTGACATCCTTTTGTCTTGGACAAGCATTGTTTATTGGCTCTGACAATTCTCCGTTGCTATGCTGGATCTCACTGTTTAACGTTTGTTGGTAAGTGGTCTCCTATGCAGACGCCTTGATACTGTATGACTATTCATTATGTTATAGCTTAATTGGTGGTTAGCAGTGAGAAATCAATCAGTTTTATACAAGCTACCCGATATTCAGCTGATTCAATTATGATTTCTACTTGTTTGAACAAATTTCCTATCCAGCTAATAGGTATTCTGTTATTTGAATGCAGAATTAAAAGAGATCATGTAGTAAATTAGACTGTTAGCATCATATTCGGTTTTAGCTTTTTCGTTTTTGTGATATGTAACTTCGAATTCATTAATAAATAAATGAGCTTATATTTCTAATTATTTCGAAGACTATATTCTTTAAAAACTCCTCAGCACTTCGAGCACCAAAGCTGTGAATTTTATAATTTCACTATCAAGTTACGAGTTATCATTCTTGAGGTATTTTGAGTTTATCCATGCTTGAAAATATGACTCATTTATAGTGTCAGGAGAAAATTCGGGCACTTTGATAAAGTACAATTTAACATTATATTAGTCTATTTAACGTGGTACACAACGATATCCAACTCTGATATGATCATGAGTAACAAACGTTTCTCAAAACCTCTAGTTAATGGTGCAATATTGCTGTGTTCAGTCATCTGACCAACAATAGTATTTGGTATAAATTCGAATTTCGCAGAATTTCAATATATTTCACAATAATGAAAACATTCATTGGAGATTTTAAAAAACTAAAATAATTTAAACCATGAGAGTTAATCAGTAGGAAGCTCTAGAGTAAGGTTTCATACTTTTAAGGACTCTTCAAAAACTATTTGAAAACTTGTTTTCCTGTGGTGATTTGAACTTGTTTCAATATGTTTGCATTTTGATGAGTATAAAGAAGCATGAAGCTTAGGCTCACGGTTCTCTCTGCTTAATACCTCTCACAATCTAACGTCCCTAGATATTTTTTGATCTCAAATGATGCTGAACTACCTCGGAATTCTATGAGATTGAAATATATTATAAAGGGTCCGTACCTCCCATTCATGTCTAGTTTACCCAAAATCTAAGACTATAATATACTTCTGAGACTCAGTATTTCAATTATCAGGTTGCTTTATCACAACTTCATCAATTGGTCAGCACAGTTCATGCAGCCTATCAAAAGTAAGTTAGAGATTCCAGCTTATAGGATATGTTTCAATTTCCGCAAGTACTGGATCGTGTCAACCTATCAGATGACCTCATGGTATCAGACGACCGGATTGCGTAATTTTAGAGTATACTACTTAGTGAAAGAATTGATACAAAGTGTCAGGAAACTCTTCTACTGCCGTTATCTGAGGCGAGACAACTACTACTTTTTCGTAAAATACGTGTACAATTCGAACTCAGCAACAAACTTTATTCACAGATTGATGAGATCACTGTAGATTAACCCCGGGATCTGGTTCTAATAGATATTATCTCCGTGCGTTATCTTGTACAGATATTGATGGATTGAGTCATCAGAGAAAAGAACATCTTATCACCACATATTCAGAGATGACATTTATTTATCGTCTTCAGCGGCATGAACCACGCATCTGAGTTGTTAGACAACCTCATTGACACTCTCCCCCAAAATTAACTTATGTTGAAATACTGGCATCTTTTATACCTTAACGCAAAAAAAAGAAATAATAATACTTTCGAGAAGACCGTTCTTAAGAAATATGTAAGCCATGGACAATACCTTGAAGAAAATATCTTTTGGCCTATCAAATGTTTGTGTGAAGGAAGAGCTGGAAACTTATTTTTGCGAGCAAGTCAGGCGAAGAGTTGAGCATTGCTACGAAGTGTTTTAGAGAGGATGTATTCCCAAAAGGTCTTAGTTTAAAGTATGAAAACAGCAAATAGAAAAAAAGGAGGCTTGTATTCATGTTGTAGTCAAGGAAACAGGTAAAGTGTAAGAAGAAGCATCAAAAAGAAAGTTCTGATAGCCAAACTTATATCAGTATTGAACCTCTTACGGTCAATAAACCAGTTCAAGTTAGACAAACATCCTATTTATGTCGCTTACAGTTGAGTCGATGGAGGTACATCAGCTTATATTAGCAAATAAGTTGACAGGATTGAGAAGAAGGTATGCATTTAGCCGTCTGAATACACCCTGAAAGACTTGTGTTTAAATTAAACGACATCTCAAACCCACAGAACATCAAGTGGATAATCCAACCAGTTGAAAATGCTGAATCTGCTGAAAATGCCTTGATTGTTACACTCCATGGATCGAGTTGCTGGAAAATGCTTTCAAGCAGTCATATGCATACAGAATGACAGTGTAATAAACCTCTAACTTCTGCAATGACGTCAGTTTGATTTTATTTAGTTTTAGTGACGTAATTCTTTATTTTACTCACCTACCAATTTCAGCCTGCTGGGTCTCACTTCTATGCATGCTACTTCGGACTGCTGAGGAGTGTCATACTGGGGTGAAACAAATTTCCAGTGCTCCAAGGTTTGCAACGGTTCATCAATTAATATCAGTTCAGGGTGGAAACTACCTTAAAGATAATATCCACATCAGCTTCAAACTCCAGTATTAGTTGTCTCTTTCTTTATGTTTCTTACGTGAATGTACAGTTCCTTAACTTTGTATTACACAACACATTAGTTACCAGTGATTTTCATGCGCATAGTTTAACATTTTACTTTTTGGATACTTTTGCTTTCTCAATTTTTGACTACCATTAAGGTGAAAGTATGCGACTGGATAACGTTGTTCGAATTACTATTGTAACTTTAAACACCTGATGAATACACACCACTACTGTAGAAGGTTTGGAAGGAAGGAAAAGTACCTGCAGATTCGAAGAAGGGCTACCTTGTCAAACTCCCGAAGAAGGGAGACCTAAGCCTTTGCAAGAACTGGGGAGGAATCATTCTCCTGTCTACCCCAAGCAAAATATTATGCCGCATCATCTTGGAGAGACTAAAGGATGAGCTGGACTCAAAACTACGACCGGAACAGCATAGCTGACGAGCTGGCTTCAGAAAGAACAAATCGTGTGCGGACTGAATTGCAACGCTACGCTACGCATCATCATAGGACAGAGTATAGAATGGCAGTCAACCGGATCTTCACCTCAGCATCATCGATTTTGAAAAGGCCTTCGATAGCGTCGACCAACAAGTAATTTGGCAGTCAGCTGCTTCAACACTACGGTTTCATTGCCACGAGTCTATCAACCTCATTCAACAGCTATATGAAGACGCCACATACCAAGTGATCCACACTGGAAAGCTCAGCGACGCCTACGAAGTGAAGACAACAGTAAGAAAAGGCTGCCGCCTACTATCAACCATCATCTTACTGATTGTGGTCGACTGAATCATGCAACAAAACGTGAGGAGCGAGAAGATGGGCATACACTGGCTGGATAGATGTAAAGACCACAGAAGAAGATTTGGATTTCACCACCGATGATGATTGATGTTTAATGTCTTGTCGCACAATCTCGAAGATCTACAGGCGAAACCAACAAGTTGACAGGAGAAGTGAGGTGAGGTGAGGCAGCGAAGGAAGACGGGACTGCATGTGAATGTAGAGAAGACACAGGTGATGCAGATACCCAACCAACAATAGCATCAACAGCGACAACAACAAGCATCGATCACCATTAACTTGAGAAGCCTCACAGAAGTGGTCTCTTCCACTTACTTACGTGGCATCGTTTCAACCACCGTTGGCGGCTGCACAGATGAGGATGTCAAAGCCGGGATCGAAAAGACAGCAAGATAGGCTTTCACTCATCTGAAATCAGTGTGCAGATCTATTGCACTGCACTGCATTGCACTCAGCATAAAGCGTGAACGAGACCTGGATTTTCGACACTAATGTCGGTCAAGTTAGTGCTTCGATGTGATGGTTGAGATACTTGGCGCGTCACGAAAAGCACTTCCAACAAACTACACATATTCAGCAATAGCTGCCGCCCACGCTCATTCGATAGTGAAGATCAGGTGGATTGCCAGAATAATAAGAAAAAGCAACAAAGAACTCACTCTGGCCTGGAAGAGGAGTAACCGAGAACCCATCACCCAACCAATATGCAGAGGGAAGTGGAGATGTATTTGACTGGGTGTTCACTGAGAAGGCCGATTGGGGAAATCACGCGTCAGGTCAAGTCAGGCCAGGCCATCGAGTGGAATGTGGATGGGAAACGATGAGTTGGGCTTTCGAGGTGAGGGTGTCATGGAGGAAATCATGTGAGGAAGAAATATCTCATTTGTAGATACCCAGAAGTTACTCACATGGTGTGAGATACCTCTTAACTCGATTAAAATAGTTAAGGCATCTGAACGTAACGTAATGTATTTGCAGTCTAAGATTATGTCATAACTTCAAGGCTTCTTAAACAAAGTTTGACATCAAAAGTTGATATTTAACAATAGTTTAAGCTGAGATAACCTTGAACAACTGTCATTCTCAACCTTATGTGGGAATCATCCCTGTTATCCAGTTTTCAGATAGATCTAACAATG